ACGAGCCCCGTCCCAGCCCGGAGAGAAACCCGCTGTTCCCCCTTCTCCGTCGTCGGTTATTTCCACATCTTCTAACGCAAAGATTTGCCTTGAAAACGGGGGTTTGGGGCACGGCAGAGCCAGAGTTTCTCCTCTCGCTTCAACCGTGCTCATCTTTTCTCCTCCCCCCGAAGAATGACCCACGGCATTTCTCTAACAATTTCAATTTAAAAAAAAACGTGACATTTCCAGCCCACAAGGAAAGCACCCTAACAAAACTTGAGCAGAAACATGCACGTAAAAAGGCTGTTTAACAGAATTTGTCACGACTGGCTGACGGTGAAGGAGCCCTGAACCAAAACGGGCTCTTGCCTGACTCAGCCAGTGCTCCTGCTTCTGTATGTTTTTTTCCACGAGGCCCAACGCCATCCACAACAAGGTGACAGATGATATATCCAGGCTCTTTTATTACTAAAAGGAATGAATCGCGTCGTTGCGATGTCACAACACGTCAGACTCTCAACAGCGCTCTCCCCCTTAAGAGACACTGAATATGAGCAAAAATAGGAGAATGTTTAACGAGCATCTAAACGTTCTGTTTTCGTAGGATTCGGAAAATTGAACAGAAGCAGAAGACCTGTAACGACGTGGTCAAATAAGTGCAACACAACTTTAAGGCTATGCAAAATTAAAATCATATTCCAGGCTTCCCGGTCATTTTACAACTCCAGGCGAGGGCCCCAGCCTTCAGGAATCCTCTCTCGGTGTTCAGCAGCACGGAGCCCCAGGAGCTCCGTGATTTAACTGTGGGAACAAGCTGCCTCTCAGGCTCTGCTCCCCTCTGTCTAGTTGCCACTTCCTGAAGAGGCTTCTTTCAAACAGCCACAGGGTCAACGCTTCTTTTCTCAAAGCATTTCACACACGCGGGTCTTTCCTGACGCTCTTTCGCACTTGTTTAGCGGACGATTAGTAACTTTAACTCACTTGTTTTCAGCCCAGTCCCTGGACTCCGGACTTTCAGCAGCCTAGGGATAACATTGCAGATATCCAGCCTGAAGGGTTACAAATTGTTCCGTGTGTCGATGTGATTTCTCTCCTGCGCGGATTCACGGCCAGCAGTAACTCTGAGCACCGCGGACTTCCTACACAGCTCCAACACGTCCCCAACAGCTACGGGCACCGGCGAAAGCTGTGAAACAGCTCCGCAGACCATTGCAACGCGGATTGCCTGCGGAAAACAACCCCCCAACCTTCTCCCTTTGCCCGGGAGGGGGCTCGGGACGGCTGTTCGACAGCCTCCTCCCTCCAGGGTCCAGCACAGAGCTGGGAGATCCCGCCACGGCCCTGCCTCCTGCCCAGCAAGGGTGACAGCCAAGCGGGCTGCGACCCCCCCGGCTGGACGGGATTTTCTATATGGAGTGCATTACAGACGCCCTGATCTCTGTGCAGGGCCAACCGGCCAACGTCAGATGTGTTTCTTGCACGTGACTTTCCTGATGCTTCATGAAACTCCTCCTGAGCACAAACCTTTTCCTGCAGAGGGGGCACTGGAAGAGCCCCTCTCCCGAGTGCCGGCGCTGGTGGTTTAGAAGATAATCCTTTCTCCTGTAGCTTTTGTCACACTCGGAGCACTTGTAGGGCCTCTCTCCCGTGTGAGTCATCTGGTGTCTAACGAGCCACGAATGGCAAACGAAGCTTTTCCCACAGTCGCTGCAGATGTAGGACTTGCCCCTGCCCTGGCTCTGCTGCTGGCTTGCCGGGCTGCCCCTGGGCGCGAAGTGCTGCCTGCACCTGGTGCAGGCCTCCGACCTGTCCGGCGGGTGATCCCAGCAGGGGCTGGCTAACGGGTTTTCTGCGGGGAAGCTCTCCTCGCTTTCCGCAGACGGCTGCTCCTCTCCGCCCGGGCCGCTGTGGTCACGAAGCCTGGTTCCGCCCGCAGGGTTTTGTCCACGCTCGGTGCGGGCCACCAGCTGCGGCCCCGCGGGCAGCCCCTCGCAGGAGGCAGGATCAGCCCCCTGCCCCGTGCCTTTCTCACCCGGAGCACACGGCTGCGCGTGCAGCAGATGGAACACCCTTTCGCTGAGAGTCTTCTCACACGTGGGGCCTGGAAACGTCTCCCCTCCCCGGGCTCCCTGGGGAGTCTGAAGATGTTCCTGCTGGCTGGAGTTTCCCTCACATTTGTTGTACGCGCACGGTCTCTTCCCAACACCGTTCTCCTGAGGGCTAAAGAAATCCAAGTGCTCACCAAACCCTCGGTCATACCGAGCGTCACCCCCAAGGCCGTTCCCGGTGGTGTTTGTTTCCATCATTTCTGAATTCCACTGACCGTCGCATGTCACTGCGGGGCTAGGAGCCTTGGAAAACTTCTCCCCAGGTCTTCCTGGTACCTCCGAGTCACACACCGTGCTTTCAAAGCAATCTGCCGGAGGGTCCCTCTTTGTGTTTTCATCGTGCGCTGAAACAGATAGATTTCAGAGTCTTTCAATTAGGGAAGCCGCTTAAGAATATCCAAGTCTACAGCCATGTCACGCTAATGGAAAGACAAAGATGGGAGGCTTTAATACTGAGGGGAAGACCAAGTACCAGCGTTCCACTGAAACAAAAACTCCAGGAAAATAAAAGGTCTTTTTGCAATTATTTTTTTAAATCTACGTGAAAATTCACTACTGCAACGTTTCACCTTCACCCTCTCATTCAGATGTCGGAAGCGTGAGGCCTAAGTTCCCTGACAGAGCGGACGCCGTCACACCTCAGTGCTCTCAGCGGCTCTCCAGACACTCCAGCGAGCATCTAGAGAAGCAAAGGGTCCAAGCCGAGGCACCGAAACCAGCTCAGCGAGTCGGTGTGGGCGCGCCCCTTCTTGTACGTGAACCGTTGTCTGCAGGCTGGGCTTCTGGGGGGAGACACTCTCCTGCCGTGTCTTTGTTCAGAGGGCTCGGAGCAGTGCTGAGTGGAGAGGAAGGCTCTCGCACTTTCCAAGCGATCCCCAGATGGGCACGCAGCTCCGGCTCGATGCAGAGGCATGCCCGGACTGAGAGGCGTCAGTCAGACTGCCTCTCCCCCCTCTCCTGCTTTCCTTGGAAAACATGTACGACTCCCGATAATCCAACCCAAAAAGGTACCTGGTGCCTTTAGCTGCTTAGGCACAGCTCTAGATTTGCCATTGGACAAAACTGTTCTGCTGACCTGCAAATCCCCTCTTTCTGTAATTACTGTTTCCTGCGACAAATATCCAGTGTTTCATTTTCCAGCTTATTTTCGCCAATGCTCTTCAGCCCAGCTTTCTAACGCTCTGTGATTTTTCCATCCCCTAAGACCTGTGACCCTTCCAACGTCTGAGAGTTGCCACAGAAAGGCTCCACTGAGCATCTTGAAGGACCCACAGGTCTCTCAGCGAGGCCAGCCAGGTAAGCCCAAAGTTACCTGCGCCGCATAAACATCCTGAGCTCTTATTTCTCTGGCTGCCTACTGGGACATCAGCACACAAACATGTTACCACAGGCCAAGCGAAAGCGCGAACGTAAAAGGCACCGGCTGCTCTACAGTAATTGCCTAAGCACGTCCTCTCACCCCAGTAACTCCAGGTCACGTGTAAGCACAGACTGGAAGGTCTGGAACAGAGTCAGCCGGGGAGCCCACCCTGTGAGCTCTCTCAGAGCAGCTGGGACAGGTCTCCCTCGGGGAGGAGTTAGGTGGAGCTGATCCAGCCTTACACCAGCGCAATATCCTGGATGACCTTTTTCTGTGGGGCAAAATCATTCACGTCGGCAGTTCCCGGCATACTGAGAGTTTATCCCTTGATTTCCTTTATAGTAACTTCATCGCGTGCCCACGAATGTTTAAATAACTCACACGAAGTGAAGGAATTCCAGGCTGCCAACTGATTTCTACACAAAATATTCCTCTGCACCCCCTCATCAGTTACCCACTTGAGAGCTATACTGAGTGGTCCCGGGTTGTGGCCCAAGAGATCGTATTTAATACCCCTATCCAAAATTGCACACCCGTTCCCCGAGGTTAAGCCTTGATCCAAAGATGAATCTCCCTCTATTAACTCTACCTCAGGCATGACCCGTACTCCAGGTGCGCTCCGTACAAAAGCTCCTCCGAATGAATGTCAGCGTGTGCATCTCCAAATCACACGTCCTCAAATTGCTTTGCATTAAAGCTGCCTTCTCTTTGGCTGCAGGATAGCTCTCCTGCTTGGGAACGCAAAGTCAGGGCTCCACCTTCGCCGGTACCAGGTTTAGACACCATCAAGCCAGCTGGAAGCACAAACTCGATCCGTAAGGCCTGAGCACACCACTGTGCTTGCCTCAGCAGAAACCCAAGACAGTGCCTGTGACGGTTTTAGACCAGCTGAAGGAGGAAGGAGACTCTTCAGCTGACAGAACCTGAATTTTTTGTGAACAGATGTTAACTAGCAGACTGAGGTTTGTTCCAGTTCTTTCATGGCTTACATTATGAGGTCGTGACATTTAGTATAGTATAAAAAAATGCTCTAAATTAGATTTGCTGTCCCAGAAACCTCAGCTGAAATCCATTACTGACCTGTACTCGAATCTGTAGAGATCTCTTCTTTCCCCAAGTCTTGTCGTCCCGGGCAGCGTGGCTCCTCCTCTTGTTTAATCCACGACAAAACATCAGTTGCGTAAGTCTGAAATCCTGTTCATCGGGGAGAATTTACACAACTGAGAAACACTGGAGAAAAAGATGCAAAGCACGGAAGATTCGGGAATTCACAAAGATAAGAAAAGCGCTGACAAAGCCTCGGGGAAGACACGACACGAAGAGCCACCTGAGGGGTAATTCCCCCAGTGGGAGTTTTTGCCAGGGAATCCTCACCTGCGTCAGGGTCTCTTGGGAGGTCCTCACCCTCTGCGCCCGGCAGCTCCCTGGCATACGCCTCTTTGCCTTTCTTGGTTTGACTTGAAGCCTCGGGCTCATAAAACGCTTGCTCTGCTAAAGGAGAAAATTCAAGACAAGCACATCATAAGAGCGTAAGCTCAGGATCTCACAAGGGCGAAACCTGCTCTGGTTTTGTCTTTTGTTTTCCCCCAAGCCAAGCTCCCACAAGCCCAGTTTCTTAACGAAACCTGATGGAAAGGTCTAAAAATCCCAGTTGGCCACGTACACTGGAAGCCAAGTAAAATTACAGCGGAGCCAACAGACAGAGCTGCTACCCTTTGTAAAGAGTGAGGACAGTCAAGCTCCAAAGCAGAACAGTTTATCCGTAACGCAAAGAGGCACCACCAAGCGCGAAGGCAAGAAACAGGTCCCTGGGCTGCGCGGCCTCCCCGGGTACCACCTGTTACAGCAACAGCACTACCAGGGAGTCAGCGCGCTCGCCCGCGGGCGCAGAAAAACCACCGAAGAGAAAGGAGGAGGGAAAAGGCAACCTGAAGCCACTGGATACGCAGGAGGAGAGGCGCGGCGGCCCCTGCCAAGAGAAGGCTGCAGGGGACGTGGAGCCGAGGAGCTGCCACAGCCGCTCCGATTCCCCTGGAGCCAGAACAGCCCGCACAGTCCTGCCTCCACGCAATCGCGGCCCCCCGCAGTGGGTGGCACCAACCACAGACCTCATTCTGGCACTGATTTTCGCCTCCTCCGAGTTAACCCATCGGCCCCAAAAAGTGACCAGTGGCCCACTTCGCAGTAGATATTTAACCAGCTTAGAGCCATCAACTTGAGGGAAGCAAAGTAGGGAGTTTAAGGGAGAACATTTCCTATTCCGCACGGCACTGCCTGGATGAAAACCAGCCACATGCTCCGCAAACTCCAAAATGGCCGTGGGAAGGGAAAGACGAAATACCGGCCCTTACCCGTCAGGACTGGTGGCAAGTCTGTTCAAAACTTGTGAGCTTTTTATAAAAGATTTGGAATACAAGAGAAGAGGTGGAAAAAAAAAACCAAACTACCTTGGAATTTAATCCCTCTGTTTCATTTTCCCTCCGAGGTATGCAGTTACTCACCCGGGCAGGGCTCTTCAGGAGCTTCTCCAGCCTCCCCCTCCTGCTGATCTGCAGCGCACAACTCTTCCTCTTGCTTAATATGGATTATGCTGTCTGCTGTTAATGGGAACCAATGTTATTTTAATTCCGTACACAAAATTAATTCCGATTCTCATCCCCTCCCAGGCACAGCAGCTCTGTTCTAGCTCACGTTCTAGAGAAAACCTCACGTCAGTTCTAGTTCTCACTGACCAAGGTCTCTTAAACAGACCTAAAATACTTGTCACAAAACCCTCAGCGGATGTTTGATGTGGGAAACACACGAGAGTTTCACGCAAGTGTAATGCCCATTTTGTGGCGGCGCCCATTAGCGAATGAAAACACCTTCTACGCGGCCCTGGGAGAGGACAGCGCCACTGGAATTCTCGTTCCCGAGTTTTGTTTCTCTCTTGGCTTTGCCAGAGTTACGCCATTCCCTTTTCAGTCGCTCTTGGTAAAACGCACACCACTTTGAACCCATCAGAAAAGCACTAGTGAGAATTATGAATGAAACTTACTGAAAAAAGAAAAAAAAACATACATAAGGAACAACAGACGGGCGAATGCTCTGCACGTTACCTTTACACCTCCAACACAATCAATGAGTTAGAGGAATACTTTCCGTGTGTGCAAGAACAACTACGTTGTGTACGTTTGTGCACGCGGAATAGAAATTCCTCTTGGCAGCCGGCCTTCAGACTGGAAAACGGAACGTCATCCCGCTTTGACCGGCAACGCAGGCACGGCCGAACGGCAAGGGGACTGCAGGTTTGACGCGTGCAACTTGCGGGCGGCTCAGCGACCGGGAGAGGGGAAAGAGGTGGTTTGGTGTGGCGTTCTGGTAAGGCTGGGAGGGATGAGATGCCCAACAGCCAAGTTTGGAAGACCACGCTCAACACGGCAAGCGCCGTGGAGAGAGGCCAACGTCCCAAAAAGAGCCCAGCTGCCGGGTGTTGGGCGGTCCGTGTCCCGACAGCCCCGGTAGCCCTGAAGCCACTCACCGGTACCGGTCTCCGCAGGATCACCTCTCCCGTCCCCATCCTCGCAGCTCCGAGCACACGGCCGGTTCCCGTCTTCCCACCGGGCCTGGGCATCACATCGGGGAGCGTCCGGCTCTGCGGGAGGCGTGAGGTCGTGAAGGACCGGGGATCCTCTCAGGGCCGGGAGGGGCCGGGGTCCCCTCTGAGCCGTGAAGGACCGGGGATCCTCTCAGGGCCGGGAGGGGCCGGGGTCCCCTCTGAGCCGTGAAGGACCGGGGATCCTCTCAGGGCCGGGAGGGGCCGGGGTCCCCTCTGAGCCGTGAAGGACCGGGGATCCTCTCAGGGCCGGGAGGGGCCGGGGTCCCCTCTGAGCCGTGAAGGACCGGGGATCCTCTCAGGGCCGGGAGGGGCCGGGGTCCCCTCTGAGCCGTGAAGGACCGGGGATCCTCTCAGGGCCGGGAGGGGCCGGGGTCCCCTCTGAGCCGTGAAGGACCGGGGATCCTCTCAGGGCCGGGAGGGGCCGGGGTCCCCTCTGAGCCGTGAAGGACCGGGGATCCTCTCAGGGCCGGGAGGGGCCGGGGTCCCCTCTGAGCCGTGAAGGACCGGGGATCCTCTCAGGGCCGGGAGGGGCCGGGGTCCCCTCTGAGCCGTGAAGGACCGGGGATCCTCTCAGGGCCGGGAGGGGCCGGGGTCCCCTCTGAGCCGTGAAGGACCGGGGATCCTCTCAGGGCCGGGAGGGGCCGGGGTCCCCTCTGAGCCGTGAAGGACCGGGGATCCTCTCAGGGCCGGGAGGGGCCGGGGTCCCCTCTGAGCCGTGAAGGACCGGGGATCCTCTCAGGGCCGGGAGGGGCCGGGGTCCCCTCTGAGCCGTGAAGGACCGGGGATCCTCTCAGGGCCGGGAGGGGCCGGGGTCCCCTCTGAGCCGTGAAGGACCGGGGATCCTCTCAGGGCCGGGAGGGGCCGGGGTCCCCTCTGAGCCGTGAAGGACCGGGGATCCTCTCAGGGCCGGGAGGGGCCGGGGTCCCCTCTGAGCCGTGAAGGACCGGGGATCCTCTCAGGGCCGGGAGGGGCCGGGGTCCCCTCTGAGCCGTGAAGGACCGGGGATCCTCTCAGGGCCGGGAGGGGCCGGGGTCCCCTCTGAGCCGTGAAGGACCGGGGATCCTCTCAGGGCCGGGAGGGGCCGGGGTCCCCTCTGAGCCGTGAAGGACCGGGGATCCTCTCAGGGCCGGGAGGGGCCGGGGTCCCCTCTGAGCCGTGAAGGACCGGGGATCCTCTCAGGGCCGGGAGGGGCCGGGGTCCCCTCTGAGCCGTGAAGGACCGGGGATCCTCTCAGGGCCGGGAGGGGCCGGGGTCCCCTCTGAGCCGTGAAGGACCGGGGATCCTCTCAGGGCCGGGAGGGGTCGGGGTCCCCTCTGAGCCGTGAAGGACCGGGGATCCTCTCAGGGCCGGGAGGGGTCGGGGTCCCCTCTGAGCCGTGAAGGACCGGGGATCCTCTCAGGGCCGGGAGGGGTCGGGGTCCCCTCTGAGCCGTGAAGGACCGGGGATCCTCTCAGGGCCGGGAGGGGTCGGGGTCCCCTCTGAGCCGTGAAGGACCGGGGATCCTCTCAGGGCCGGGAGGGGTCGGGGTCCCCTCTGAGCCGTGAAGGACCGGGGATCCTCTCAGGGCCGGGAGGGGTCGGGGTCCCCTCTGAGCCAGGAGGGACCAGCGTCTCCTCAGAGCTATGGGAGCTCACGATCCCCTCAGAGCCATGAAAGCTTGGGGTCCCTTTAGAGCCATGAGGGATCAGGGTCCCCCGCAGAGCCATGGGGGCGGCAGGATCCCCTCAGAGCCATGAGGGATTGGGACCTGCAGAGCCGTGAGGGTGCAGATCTTCTCAGAGCTGTGAGGGATCAGGGTCCCCCGCAGAGCCATGGGGGCTCAGGATCCCCTCAGAGCCGTGAGGAATCTGTTCCCCGCAGAGCTGTGAGGGCACAGGATCCTCTCAGATCCGTGAGGGACCAGGATCTCCTCAGAGCCATGAGGGATCAGTTGCCTGCAGAGCCATAGGGGCACAGGATCCTCTCGGAGCCGTGAGGGCCCAGGGCCCCCTCTGAGCTGTGAGAGGCCAGGGTCCCCTCATAGCTGTGAGGGCTCAGGATCCCCTCAGATCTGTGAGGGACCGGGGTCCCCTCCGAGCTGTGAAGGGTTGGGGATCCTTTCATAGCCGTGAGGGATTAGTTCCCCGCAGAGGCTCAGGATTCCTTCAGAGCCATGAGGATTTTGTGTCCTCCCAGAGCCGTGAAGGTTTGGGCTCCTCTCAGAGCCATGGGAATTCGGGACCTCCTCAGAGCCGTGTGGGTGCAGGATGCCCTCTGAGCCCGAGTCCTGTCCTGGCCCGCCATGCCAGGGTGCAGCGCAGGGTCTCTGTGGTTCAGCTCGGCATGGCTCCAGGTGCCACCATGGCCCCGGGATGGGGTGGTGAGACAGCCTTGCGGTGCAGCCCGGCCCTGGGCTGTGGTTTGCAGGATGCCGCCTGCGCGGCCCCGCTCCTGCTCTGCCAACTTGCTGACGGGGAGCTCCCTGGGGAGGTAGCCCTCCTAATGGCCCCATCTGCAGTTGCAGCAGCCCCTCTGCTCTCCTGGTCTGCACAAGCATCAGGAGAAGCTCATGTCTCAGGCACGTTGCACAAACGAGCACAAAGCTGAAGTGGTTGGAAGCCTTTATTGGATCTTGTGCACAGGGTACACCCACCACAGGGGAATTCAGCAAATTCAGGTCTTCCAGAAGCATCCGGGATCTCCACTGCAGGCATCCCCACAGAGGCACCTTCAGTTAGGTTGGGTGACACCTCCAGGCCTTCCCTCTATGTCTGACAGCCGCTGTGTGACCGACAACCTACTTGGAATCACCACCTCACCTTATCCTCCTAATTTGGTAAGTTTGCTAAACTGTCTGGCCATCAGTTATGCAAAACAGGACATTTACCATTAGAGGTCTTCAAAACTGCAAAGTTAAAAGTTCGCTTGCTAACATTACTTACATGGCTGATGTGCAGACGCTTGCTACAGGTAGGTCTCAGGATGGTGCTGAGTCCTGTCAGCTCTTTGTAGCCTCCTCCGGTAGCAGGCATCAGGTGTTTGACCTGCAGTACAACGAACTGCTCTTACCTGCCTTTAAATCTTGCCTGGGTGTCCCACCCCATGGCGATGAGGAGCTACTTCTGGGCCAGGAGAGGCTGGTGGGCTCGTACTCCTCCTGGGGACGTTCAGCTGAGCTGTGCTGGGCCTCTCAGGTCTGCACAACAGTTGTGTGCACCGCGGGGCCATGCTGAGGGTGGCTGGAGCAGACTTCCCCTCCAGTGTTTGGAAAGGACCAGGCCCATCCCAAGAAGGGACAGAAAGAGGCTTAAGAACCTGACAACGGTGCTAGGTGACACCTATTGTGAACATGCGCATGGTTCTGGTCCTCTTGGTGAGGGACAGACCTGCGGGGAGAGCCAGGCTGCCAGAGGATGGTAGGGCTTCTCTGTACTTACATGTATTCTTCTTATCTTGCATTTAATCGTTACGTAAGGAGCTGGATGCGGGAGAGCCAGCGTACCGCTTCGAAATGCAGCGTTCCATGGGATGCAAAGAATGCCTACCTCTACGTGGTAAGACACAGAGAGGCTTTTATGAACAAAAATCTGAAGTCATAAAGCAATAAAAAACATGGAGTTGCTCTAACAACAGCAAGTACTTGCAAAATGAACAAACAAAAGCTTGAGCTGCTTTTCAGCAAAATAGTTTGCGTTTTCCGGAACTTGAGAATCCAGTAAGACGTTGCTGTCCTGGGTGCACCCGGGGTCAGTTGTTCTTTTCTCTCTGTTTTTCTGCGCATGTCTTTGCCTTCTTTTGTGAAGAATATCTCGGCCTAGACACCTGGCTTTGCAGTGGCGGCTGCTGTCCTACTCCAGCCTAAGGTATAGCAGCCCAAGTAACGGAGGGTCAGAAAAAAGTTGCATGCCGAGAAGCGCTACTCAAGGATGATAAAAGCTCAGCGCTTGTTCATGGGAGGTGTGGAGATTCCACGATGCATCTCAGGGTGGGTGTAGGAGACCTTGCGCTGCCAAAATACTCACTCTCTCCCCATCACCACATCTTCTTTTGCCTTCCCCTGTAGCTTCCGCTCTTTCCTGTAAGCATCGTTCTATCTGTGCATGGGGAGGGTTTTTCTTCTTTCTCTTGGTTCTGGAAAAGCAACGCATTTCTACGTCACTTGACATTTCTTCTTGGATTCAGGGTTGGATTTTTGCAATTTAAGCAGCACGAATCTCAAAATAGCTCTGAGATTTGTTATAAATATACATATTTGTCTCTGAAATACAGGGGGGCTGGGCTAGAACAAGGGGAACTATGATTCACTGTGCAAAATACAGCTTCATCTGTATTATCAAAGGCAGCATCAAGAAGTGATGAAATATGCAGCATATCAAGTGCTTCCGACGTTCAGACAGTGGTTGACATATGAAGTCTCCCAGTCAAAAAAGGAGTGCTGTTGAGATGGCGTAACCCTCCCCAGCTCACACTTCTAAAACGCCCATCTTTTTGCTATCTGAATGCCGATTCTTTTACAGTTGTGGCTGCAGAGACGTCTCTCAGATGTGAACACGACAGCTTCTTCATTTTTTCTTTAACTGATGTTTAAAACGAAAATGTCTGATAGTAATGAAGTGGTAGGAGGTCAGCATTAGAACATACACGGCAACAGCGCAACTGGGAGGGGAGATGGCAACGTGGCAGGACTTCGACGTTTCTTGTTATTGTCCTTTCGTAAGACACAGGAACAGACCAGAAAAGGCACCTGAAGTTGTTTGTAGAGTAACCAATGAGTGCCGCCGAAGTGATCCTTCGACCAGAACATCCAGATTCAGGATGTTCTGGTCAGAGGGGAATGGGTGACGAGTGCCCCTCCGCTGCTTTATGCTGCAGCATCTTTGCATCTTTATCCCAGAATTCATCCTGCTCTTCCTAGACTCAACTGAGTGCGCTAAACTGGTAACGACTGCAACGCTGCGGTTGCCAAAAACTTTTTGCTGGCAGCAGGATCCATGTGATCTCTCTGCAGGATGAGAATTGTATAGTGAGCTTATTTACATCCTATTTTTAGACGCTCTTACCATTGAGGCCCTGTTCGGATCTCAGATACACGCATGGAAAACAATGCTCCTGCTCAGGTTCCACTGCAGTGTTAAAAAAACCCAATGAAACCCAGTCCATTCTTTTTCCAATTCAAGGCAGACTTTTGTCTCTCCGCCAGTACGGTACGATACCACAAACTGCCATTTACCAGCACGTAAAACGATTAAAAAAAAAAAAAAAGACCCCAAAAAATGAAGCATTTAGAACTTCACAGCTTTAATCTGCTCAAGTTTATTGTTATTAAAAATCAAGTATCTACTGCTGCAAATTTAACTGGCATTTTACAAACAGATAGAAACAAGTTCCCTGCCCTGAAGGCTCACAGTCTAAGTAACAAAAGTGTAAAACATAAACAAGCCGTTTAACCGGACCCAGTAGGAAACCACTGGAGAACTGATTTAATTTACCTGCTAATTGGACAAGACCCAAACTGCTTGTCTGGGTATCAAATGCCCCCTACTGCTCACTGCCGAGAGACTCTCCTTCAGCACGTCGAACAGTGGAGAAAAACCGGTCCGTGTTCACTGCTTGATGGTAGCAAGTGGCCACTGAACACCGAGAAGTGACAAAACACGACACCCTCTGTCCTCACAGATTTCTTATTTGGAAAAAAAATGGATGTGTGCACAGAGAGGGGCTCACCACACACAGACCTACTCGGACACGTCAGGAGCCGTGAAATCAAAGACCTCAGCAGCACTAGGACGGGAAAAGGCGGCAGACAGTTGGTCACCAGGCAAACACCTGCAGTGGCTGAAGACGCTTTGGCACGCGCGGCTCTGTGCCGGCTCCCACAGCATGGGTTCAGAGCGGGTTCACACAGGCCCACCCCGATCCAGACCGGGCAAGAATCAGATTAGCTTAAACAGCCCAGAGCTCTGAGCCGGCCTCGCCGGCTGGGCCGAAGCAGGCACAGGAGCGCTCCTGTCTTACGCTGCTGGCAGGGCAGGCGACAACGAACAGCAAGGACCTGGAGAGAGACCTCACGCCTTGCCCAAAGGAATTTCCAGACTAAAACATCTGCCACAGCAGCCAGCTGGAGCCAGAGGAACATCCCCTGTCTCCCAGGGGGATGAGCCAGCCACCTGCACCCTCCCCTTGGCAGCCACTTTGGGACCAGGAAGCAACAGAGGGGTTTCTAAAGCCCAATTAGTGATGAGGAAAACGAGCAGCAGGTTTAAAGCAGGTCAGGCAGCAACGCCAGCCCTGAAGTTGCACTACGTATTTGGGCAATTTGCTAAACGCTTTTCAGATGCTGGGAATCTTTTTCTTAACGGTTTGGGATATGATGAAAGCTGATCCCCAAGAACAAAAAACATCCATCCGTACCCGAGGCTACCAGGAGGAGAGGGAGATGAAGGCAATAATGAAATACAAAGAAGTGTTAATGTACAGGCAGTCAGCAGAAAGTTATCCCAACGCTCACTTCAGCCTGGGAGTGCAGGTGTGCCCCACCTCTGGCTTACAAGTGGTTTCCCCACTCAGTTCCACTGGGGGTCTCATAGAGGTATGAGAAGGGGTTTGGGCAATGCCACCTCCTTTGGGTGCGCTCAGAGGTGACAGACAATGGACAATTCCCCTCAGTTACTGCAGTGCACACCCAGAGTCTCCAGTGGAACATCAGAAGAACTCCAAGCAGAACGTGGCCCTACCATCATCATTTTCAGCAAACTAAACCCGATTCCAAGCTCTAGAGAAGGAACTGCACCTATCTTTTCCAGCTAGCTTCCTGAGCAGAAGCAGCAGTGAAAACGTCATTTGGCCTGTGCCGAGGCATGGAGAGAGCTGGGAGCCGACTGGCTGCCCCTCCTTGGCAAAGGGGGCATCCACGCAAGCCGTCAGCGAGGCCTCACCCTGTGCACGTGTTTAGTTGCCAGGAGTCTTTTGCAAATGTGCAACTCAAACTCACCCGTGAAATTGAGGACAGCAGAACTTTATCAAGGGGAGCAGCCAGGGAAACTCCAGGCGAAGAGGAGCTTCAGAAAACTCAACCTCGCTGGAACCAGTTCAAACAACTGACTCAAACTTGGAGAGGCCCAAAACACTTTAATTCTGGAGAGATTTTTGGGCAGACTATGAGGTACTGTGGTATACCATCACCACCACGAAGAAAAGGACTGCGGTGCCAAGGTGGATCCTAATTCTACTTTGCTTGGGTCTTTGGGATAAATTGTCAGAGAGCCTTTAACGCTGAGTAGCAGAGACTCTCTCCTCTCCCACCTCCTCCAGGGGCTGTAGGGCTGCGTGAACCTGCACAGCCTAGCAGCTGTGTAGCGGTGCCTTCCTCGCACTCTGCGTGACCACACAGTTCCTCTCGCGCAGGTGGATCTTCTCGTGCTGGAGGAGGTGCTGCTTCTGGGTGAAGCGCTTTGGGCACTCGTTGCATTGGTATGGCCTCTCCCCAGTGTGGATCCTCTGATGGCGGATCAGATTGGAGGGGTGGCTGAAGGTCTTCCCACAGTACGAGCACCAAAGGACCCCTCCGCTCCGGCCCGAGTGCATACGCTGGTGGATGATGAGGGTTTTCTTTTGGGAGAAGCACTCCTGACACTTGTCGCACTTGTAAGGCCTCCCCCGCGGGTGGCCCCTCTGACTTGGCTTGCAGCTGCTGTTGGTGTTGATGCTTTTCATGCACCTGGGATTGCCGTACACCTTGTCCGTGGCCGGGACGCTGGCGTGAGCTTTTGCATTCTGGTTCTGCTTGAGCTTCTCCAGGGCCATGTGGGTCCTCTCTTCCACGTGGGTCCTCTCTTCCATGTGGGTCCGCCGGTGCTGCTGATGGAGGAAGCCCTCCTCGTCTCCAGCGTGCTCACTGCTGCACTGTGTGCCGTGGCTCTCCTGGTGAGTCATCAGCATCTTCAGACAGAAGCCCTTCCTACACGCACTACACGAGTGAGGTCTCTTGTTGGGACAGTTTTGCCCATAGATTGTGACAGCGTTACTTTCGCCGAGACCCTCTTCCCCCGGAGTAGATGGCACCACCCTGCTCATGCTCTGGTTTCCCTGCTGCACAGGAGAGCTGTACTGACTATCGAAGGGCAGTGCCTCGCTGGGACCCTGGAAAACCAGCTCCTCCGACTCCCTGGATAAAGTCGTGGGGGGGTCTGAGCTTTGGGGGCATTCCTCAGAGTCCAGCTGCTCTATTTTGAACGTTATCACCTCATCTGCTGGAACTGACAAGAACAACAAAGGGGACATTCACCGGCGTGAGACAGAACGCCCTTCTGAACCGCCCCCCCACTCCCTCCCCCTCCACCTGTGAATCAAACAGGCCCGTCTTACACAGGGAGCGCGAAAGGCAGCTGTGCTCCCAGACCAACAGCCAGCTGAAAGACCGAAAGAGAGAAAACAAGCAAAAAGCACAGGGATGCTTCCCTTTCAGCTGGCTGAGCAGTGAGCGTGAGAAGCCGTGAGGGAGGAGGCAGAGGGAAGTGCTGCCTTCCAAGACAGCAGAGTTCAGCAGTTTCCAAAATAATCTCCAGCCATCTTCCTTCTCCTAAGCGCTAAGATCTTATGGACCTGGGGCAGCCCTTTGCTTCCCCCGTCAGCACGCCTGCCTCCCTCCCCACACCAATGACTCGGTATTTCTCACTCTTCAGAGAGCTCCAGCTCATTCCCCGAGATCCACCTTCCCTCTACTCCCGGGACGTGGTGACCCACCTGTGTAGCCCCCTTCTTGAAAGGGGACACGCGAACACTGGCTGGTTTTGACTCGAGACACGCCTGCTACTGCTCAGGAAACATATGTAATGAGGAAGCCGCCTCTGTAGTCCTCACTGAGGCAGTACAAGTACATTTTCTCCGGGGGTTCATTGCTTTTCATCTCTGAGCTAGGTGCCTGGGGTTTTCTATTCACGCTAAACCTGTCTCAGACTTTCTCTTGACTCTCATTCCTACCTGAACATTTAATTTTAGTTGACCTGGATGGGAGTATGACCCATCGGTGGAAGACCAACCAACGGTCAAGGACAACACACAACCATTTTGAAAGCTGTTGACAGCGTGAGGGCAAAACCTAAGCAGGGATCAGCCTCCTGTCTGGAGAGTGTCACTCCCCAGCTCACTAGTGCCGTGCGGTGACTGACAGCGGAGAGGTGACAACATGACACAAGGCGCACGAGAAAAAGCATCTAAGATTTAGTCACAACAGGGCAAATACCATCAAAAACTGAGCAAGCCCCACTGACAGCTCTGAGGTGGCACAAGGAGAATAAACAGAGACCAGGACTGAGGGTGAGGAAGCGACTGGTGAGCTGGCGACGGTCTATTCATCAAGTGAATATTACATTATTATTGGGAACAACAGAGCCATCCCAGCTCACCGGTGACTTCCCTTGCCTCTAGGTAGCCATCGAGGCGCTGCTCTGGAGCACAGCTCCCTCTTCTGAGGATGCAGCCAAGCGGAAGAAATTCCGGGAGAAGAGCAGCAGGCGTGCTCTGGAGGACGCGAGACAGGACCTACAAGAAGGAGCGGAGCGTTCTGGGCCGGGTGCCAAGAAGCCCAGGGGCTGCAGGGAAGAGCCGAGGCTCTGCATCAGCCACAGCCTTGCCGAACGCGGGGGACGGCCTCCCTGCAGCAGGATGGGAGCCAGAGGTGACATTCCATCCGGGAATTTGTCCAAACCCCTTCTAAGCCCGTTTTGCTTCCAGCCTTTGCTGTGCCCTGTGGCAGTAGGTTCTACAGCTTGCACACGTACGATAACGGGCTTTGCCCTGCTTGGTTTAAAGCAAATGCCTGCTCATTTCACCGGGTGCTCCCTGATCTCGGACAGTGAGAAAGAGTGAAGGTTCATTCCTTCAGCTCCTGCTGCGCACCGCTCACCCAGGCACAGACCCGTGCTGCATCCCCCTCTGCCACACCTTCCTCAGGCTGAGGAATCAGGAGAGCCTTCAGTCTCTCCGGATACGGAAGCTCTCCACCTCGCTGCGCTGCTCTGGACCACGTCCCTGCCTACTGCATTCCTTTCAAGACTGAGTAAGCAGAACTTTGCTCAGTTCCCCAGGTACTTTGGCATAACATCATCTTTGGAGAAGACCTTGAGAATTGTTCTTGATCTCATTCATAATGATTCCTTGTATTCTGTTTGATTTATTTCAGGGATGCCCGTCTCCTCGCTCGCAGTGCCTTGTCCACCTGGCACTTTCATCTTCCTACTAGTAAAACGATCCGTACACTTTCTGCCCGCTCTCCTAACCTCAGCGCGGCTCTCGCTCTTTCCCCACTGCCCCGCCTGCCCCTCCTCAGTCCCCGCGTCTCGGCATACGCTGTCCCACAGCGGGAACGTCGGGGAGCCCCCGCATCTCCAGCTGCACAGCGCGCCGCGGGATCGCTCGGAACTCACCCACACTGAGCTCGGTAAACTCCGCATCCTCCGCGGCTCCCCGCTCCTCCGCACACAGCTCTTCCTCTTGCTTCACGACGCCTGCAAAGCTCGGCTCTGGAATGCCGTAGTCTGTTGATGTAAAGAGGAAACTTCTTTACTGGTTAGCACAGCACCGCTCGGCTCCTCCTTTGCCCAGGAGGTTTGCTGCCAGCTACCCTGCTTTCATATACAGCCTCTCTCCAGCATCTCCCGTTCCTACCTCTGGGAGCTTTACTCCGCCCTGCAGAGAAGCGGTTTCCCCTT